CGTCGTGATGATTTCCGAATCTACACAATGCTGAATTTCAGTTAATTCGTTATGAACTATTTTACGGGAAAATCTTTCCTGCATTTGTTTGCATGTTTTTGCATAATTGCCTTCATTAGAAAATCCTTCCTGTTTCCTAACATGTTACTAACCTTAATCAACTCCCCATTAACCCTGCATTTCGGCATGCAGCTACTCTCATTTCCCTAAAGGAAATATATTCTATGGTTTATCTACCTACATTTTTCATGGGAATATCAGTTGACCTGCATACTTGCACATGAATTTTACTTATCATTTTTGTGAAGAATAATTTTTACGTTTACATGGCTCTGTAAGATCATAATTTTCTCGAGATTTTATCCTACAATTTAGATAATTCACTACTGCCCTCTGTCAATCAGGTGAATGTTGCAATTAACACTATTTTGAATCCCTGACACGATGCTTCCAGTCATTTCCTAATCGTTTTGAGTTCGTGTTGATATTGTAACTCCCTGAGATATGGCATTACGTCTTCTGTCCCCAAGACATGGTACTGTTGTTTTCGTTCGTTGTCCTCAGAACCAGACGCCCTGTGCTGAAGCCCACTGCTGACCTTGACCCTCGGATCACCACGTCGTCGTACGAAGCCCCCGTTCCCTGGCGCACGAAGCCGCCGTTCACAAAGCCGCCGCTCCCTGGCGCACGAAGCCCCCGTTCCCTGGCGCACGAAGCCGCCGTTCACAAAGCCGCCGCTCCCTGGCGCACGAAGCCGCCGATCCCTGGCGCATCAAGTCTCGCTCGCCCGTTAACGAGCCCTTTTCACGGACGTTCTCGCTCTCGCATCACCTGCCGATGCCCCTTAGTTCTCAACTGCACGTCGCTGCAACTCCGGCCGTATCCGCCGTCTCGTCTCGTCTCGTATCGCCCGACGTCCTCGTCACATATCGTCTCACTCACCACACCTGATGCCTGTGCTGGTGACCCTGGCAAGAGTGGACCTGCCTTGCCTGTCGGAACTCGTGACACCAACGCCCTGGTGCTCCTCCTCTCAAGAAATAACGAATTCTCCCCGCCAACGATGTGATCCTGATTCTTCGAAGAAGACCTGTTCTCATGATTCTACGCTCAGCACTCGTCCCCTCGCCAGAATCTTCTAGACCGGTGTGCGTGTGATTTACGA